CATAATGAACAACTGGTAGTGATGGAGTTGCTCTAAGTTATAACTGCAATTATATGGACAAAATTACTATGCAATAGAAAGACTAACAATAAGATGGATAGGATGTATATCTAACAAATTCTTCAACTTTTTTATTTTTATTTTTATCATTTATGATTTATGAACACTATTATACATGCACAACATGGTGAGAACAGATCAAAAAAAAACAAAAAACAAAATTGAAGGATTTGGAAGAACCTCCTGGGCTTTACGCCAAGCGGCGGCGTTAGGGCGGCGGAGGAGAGCTTCTTTTTTAAAGCTTTTCTTTCGGCTTTAAAAACCACACGACCCAACCCAAACTCAGAAATTTGGTTGTGGTTTAGCGAGTTATCCCAATGAAACGGTGTCGTTATTAAATAAAATAACCCCAACTGTCTTTTAACCCGACCCAAACCCGAAGTAGTTCCGGAATCTGGGTGGTGAAATAGCAAACCCTAGAAATCAATACTTCTTCGAACTGGTTGGAGCAGACGAGCGATCTCAGCCTGGTGAGTCTTCTCTCTATTTTTTTTATTCTTCTTCTCATTCAATTTCAATGTCTGATCGTAAGAAATCTTTGTAAAGTCACACAAATTCGCAGACGAACATGGAAATCTTTAGCGAACCCTATTTCTTTCCCACAAATCTCGTTGATTGAGTGCAAAACTGTATAAAATTAGGTATCTTGCTATTATGCTTGATATTGAGCTCAATCGCGCATGGTTTCTTGACAATATCAGCAGGACATTGAAATTGGTTTTGTTCTCATCCTCTTATTTTGTTATTATTAGGTAATTAATTAATTAATTTTTTTTTTAACATTTTGCTTATCTCATATTAAAGCTAATACAAGCCTCCAGAGTTGAATCATTGAACAATGTAAAGGTCGCTAAAGTTTGAATATTGTTTCACTGGTAAAACAATATATATTAACTTCTTAAATATATTGACAACAAACAAACTTGTTTTAGTTACTGTATGGGGTGTCTTCAATCTATTTATAATGTTCCCCTCGTTACTACTCCTAATTATTGTGCAGTCCTTAGATTTGATCCGACCGTGATTTATTCTGAAGCATAATTCCTGGCTTGCAAAGGTGGAAGGAGTGAAAAAAAATACTGATTTGGCTTTTTTGTCTATTTAAGTCAATATTAATATACTGCTTTTGTTGGATTGTTCAATTCTACCTAATGTTAATTATAAGGTTGTTATCTTGACTTGACACCTTATTGTTTCTATTTGTTTCAGAGTCATCTTTATACCATGAAAAGGGCAATGCCATGGAGTGACGATGAGGATGATTCATCATCTGATGAGTCTTCAACCTTGGATACAGACACGGAATCTAATGATGGGTCTGGCAAGAACAAAAAGAGGATTAGTGTTAAATCTACTCAACCCTCCAGGGGAAAAACATCTGAAGGTAATTTGTTTTTATTACACCTGTTTCTTTTGCTGGAAAATCAACATTGAGAATTATCAATCATTATAACAAACAACCTCAGTTGGTAATATTGTACAGAGGTCCTTGCATATGTTTGATTAAGGATGAAGATCTCTTTTTAGTTCCAACATTCAACTTTCTAGGATTGGAACACTTTAAGCTCGTGGAAGGATTCCACCTGTCATGTGTATGAAAATGTTAGCTTTTGTTTGTTTGTTTGTTTTGTTTTTTATTTTTTTTGTTTTTTTGTTTTTTCAAATAAGCTTTAGGATGAAGTCTGTGATATATATATATATATATATATGTAAAATTTCTCTTGCTCTGTTTGTTTTTCAGTTCACATGGTTCATTTCTGCTTATTGAGTTAATAAATACAATTTCTGTACCTTCTTAAGAACCATGTGAAAAACCCAAGAAAGATGTATTCTTTTAGAAAAATAGTAAACAAAAATTTTTTTTAAATTTTTTTTAGGTCAATGATTTAAGAGGCTTAGGAATAAGATGAAGCTTAAAGAAATCATCCGACGGGGTTCTTGTAGAAATAGTGCTAGGTCTAGAAGGAATGGATGTGATTTTAGTCCTGCTTATTGTGGTGTTGCCGTCAAAATTGGAGTGGAAAAGCAAATTTAAAATCACAAAGGGCTTACACGTTCTGGAGTTCACCTTTTCAGCTGAAAGAAGGGTTTTGCTTATATATACAAGGATGTTTAACTTCTTTTAGTTGTGGAGTGATAATAAAATTGTTTATGAGATAGAGATTGACTTTGTGCTTTACTTGTGGAATTATGCATGTTAATGCACATCCCACTGCCTGAAGCTTCAAGAATTCCATTCATTTTTCACTTTGTGCACAACCAAATGAATGAAAGTTGTTTAGCCTATGGAAGTCTGTCCTTTTGTCCTAACAAATAGAAGGAAGGAATATTGCATACTCTCTCTTCATTTCGTGCTTGACATTTTCGCATCAAATAAATCACTCTCCCTCAAGTAGTGTTTGATACAAGATTCCCCTATGGATGATTTCTAGTTTCTTGCGCCATGAATTTGATAGTTTTGAGATGAGTCAACTGATTTTAGTTCACTTATGTAATAGATTGGCATTTTATGGATATCACTACAGGTGAATTGCTATTAAAAGGAGGAACTGATTTGCTTAAAATCGATTTGTAATTTGAGGAAATATAGAGAGACTAAGTGTAAATGTATAAATATACATACATTATACACATATTTGTATCATCTATGTAGGATATTTTATTACAAGCTAACTGATTTGCTTAACATCAATTTGTAATTTGAGGAAATATAGAGAGACTAAGTGTAAATGTATAAATATACGTACATCATACACGTATTTGTATCATCTATGTAGGATATTTTATTACAAGCTGATTCTAAATTCTTAAAACTAATACAATGTTGGACCAAGAAAGAATGCTTGCATGAGATCCACAATAATGTGAATTCTGCTTCCACGTCATTTTCATGAACTTCCTTAATTTCTCTTGTATTTCTTAGACATAAAGCTCTGCTTGACCATTATTTTAGCTACATGCATGCAGCTGATTCTGCAAAGCGGAAGAGCAGAGGTGTAGACTTTGAAGCTTTAAGCCGGCATGGCTATAAAGGTGGACTATCGATCTTGGGTGTGCCTCCACCAAAAGAGGTTGACCAAGATTGGTCTTGGTCTACTGGCAAGGAAAGTCGAGCAACACAGAAGACTGAAGAAACTTACGAAGAACGACAGAGAACCAGAGCTGCTATTATTGAAGGAGAGGAGCTAACCAATGCGCAAACTCAGAAAGAGAAAAAGAACCTTTCATTTTCACAGAAGGAGAAGAGGAAGAGAGATATTGGTCAGGCTAGTCGTGGGAAGAATTATGTTGAAGAAGAGAAGAGGCTGCTAAGGGATAATGGTGTTTATTCTGGTTTTGATTCCTGATCTGAGATAACATACTTCTTTAGTTCCTTGTTTTGTAAAATATGTATTAAAAAAAAAAAAAAAAAGATCTCTTGTGCGTTTAAAAATAAATTTTAAGCTTGTTACTTTTTATTTGCAGTTTGTGCAAAATTGTTTCTTTTTAGTTCTTTTTATTCGCCGCACGTATGGAATCTCCTTAAAACAGGTGTTTGACACTACTGTTGCTGTGTGATGCCAAGACAGCAAGCACTAGCAAATTGGCCATTATACAATTTGTAGGTATCACCTGCACTAATACTTCCATGGTGGTGGTACAGCCATAGCCGCTTCATATGCAGGTTAGTCTTGAGCAAATATCATATATATGTTGTGCATTCCCATACCTATTCAACCTCATATGCTTCTCTTCATTTTTAATTTTTTTTAAAAAATAATTCTTTTTCGGCACATAACCTGATGATGATTTATTTACGGAGATAAATGACAGCTGTCTAATAATTAGTTATCAAGAATAAAACCCTTTTTTTTTTTTTTTGTTGGGGGCGGTGTTATGGGTGTGTGGGTAAATAAAACATTTTGATGTATTACATGGCTGATTTTTCAAACAGCACTAACCCAGATCCTTAAAAGCAACCAGGTTCCTCACCATTAATCCGGCAATATACAGATTTGGAATATTGAAACCACACTGAGAGATTAAAAGAAATTTATGCAGAACGCTGATCGTCTGATACCAATATTGAACATTTTTTCTTTTTTCTTTTTCTTTTTTTTGTGTGTGTGTGTGTGTTTCTTCATTAGCTCCCTGGTGTACCCTCCCAGCCCTTAGTTTGATCAACAGATTCACATGAGATGGTGCACTCAACAAATCAATTATCAAAATGAAAGGGATTTTTTGGTGCATCAAGTCCCAAAATTGTTTATCTGACCAAAAAAAATTATGAAATAGGCTCCAAAACAAACATAACCTGATTGAAATTAGAACATTTTTCTGATATAAGAGTGTAACACAGGCCTTAACGCAGAAATCAGCATTAAAAATGACATTTCTCCTAAACTACCTCATCCCTTAACTAGAAACTTGATCCTCGAGTTTACAGAGTGGTTGGGCCTTACTTCTCCCAATTTCTTTCCAATTAGGAGGAAACTCTTGACTTCACCAAATGTGATCAGCATCCCTCTCGTTGTCCGTTAATCAGTGGGATCATTTGAGAGATGGAGCAGCAGATCTATTGGAGAGAGTCTTATAAATTGCTCTTATGGTATTTGGAGTAGTTCTGCAGCAACCTCCGACAAGGGACGCTCCCACATCACACCATGTGTTAACACATGAGACAAAATCGTCATCTGACACCCCTGTGTTTTGCTGCAAAACCAAATTGGTATCACTAAAAACAATTCATATTTTTTAATATGCAAAGTAAAAAAAAAAAAAAAAATTAAAAATTAAAAATTAAAAAAAAGGTACTCAACAATTATGGTTTGGCGAGTTGCATGATTTCCTTGCATCTTGGAAAGAACCACATACTCGAACCACAGATGCTACGGTGAGAAAATGATAAGAGAAAAAAATTGTGGTATGCAGGAGTCGTCAATGTTCAATACTAACGTGGATGTAAAAGCCACTCAGTCTTGTATTTGTTTATTATTTTTTAGGAAAATATAATTTCTTGCTCTCATGGGTAGTCGATATGAATGCCATGTTTTTTTGGGTGAATGCCATGTTTGCTCATGTGAAAAGCCCAGAAATTCAATTGAACTTCAAAAAGACTTGTCCATACAATTGGGCTAACTACTACATGAAACCATATGAAGCATTTTTTCAGGCCGAAAATCTTCACATTTCATGTTCTGAAAGATTAAACTAGGGTTCATAACTAGGACCTTCAAAATATCAAAGACTAACAACTTGAATGTGCATCAATCCCCAAGCACTGGCTTGTGTTCCTGTATAATAAAACTGTTCTTCATACTTATCAAACATAAAATAAAATTCAGTTTATTTTGTTTCAGTTTTCTGAATTTAATTTTCTGAAAACTGAGCTTTTTGTTTATCGTATTTTTTTGTTTTTAGTGAGTATTTTTAAAATTTTAAGTAATTTTTTTTTTACTTTTTTAGATACACCTTACTTAGATGTATCTAAATAGTAAAATATTTGTGAAAAAATATTTTTAAAATCTAATAAATACACAAAAATACGAAAAATGTACTGAATTTTCGTATTTTTGGTATTTTGTGTAGTTTTTAAAGATTTTTTTTTCACAAATATTATACTTTTTAAATGTAGTTATGTTAGGTGTCTTTAAAAATTAAAAACAATTGCTTAAAATATTAAAAAAATTCATTGAAAACATTAAAATATGAAAAATAAAAAAGTAGAATTTTCTGAAAACTGTTTTTTGAAAATTGGAACCAAACAAGCAGTTGTAACTCATATCAAGGACATACAAATATTGATAACTGGAGTAACAACTTTCTCAATCTACTGACCAAAATAACTAATTATATGAATATTGAAAAAAGAAACATTAGAGAACAGAAAAAGAAAAGGATAGTGCCTTCTATGACAGAATGTGTAATGGATCAAAATTCGATTTCCATAGAAAACAAGTTTATTCCACATCAAATCAACTGATTTTCAAGAAGTTGTGTCACTCAACTTCTTTTAAATATTTTTAGCGATTCAACCATTTTTCAGATGTCGATTATTTGTTTAGTAATAGATTTGTCATGAGTCAAATTCTCAAGGAAAAGAAATTGGCATTTGCTCTAAGGAGAAAGAACTCACCACCCACTCCTTTTTATCAGCATCATAACTCTCACCACTGTTTGGATATATAAGTATTGGTTTAGTTGTCCCCTGCACAGATGATTACTCTATATTAGAACAATATCCGAAGAGAAAAATAGAAATGCAATGATCAATATCTCGAGAGTTTCATAGGCCATTTTTTTTTTCTTGATAAATTCATAGGCCATATTATTAATGAGGTTATGAAACGAAAAGGTATTCTTTCATTACAAATTCAAAGTACAGAAAAGAAAAGAAAGGTACAGGTTTTAGTGACATGATGATTGTCTTTTCTGTTTAAGGCAGCATTAGTGACAATCAAGAAAATCAGAGCTGAGCTAAATTAAGAACTTCTAGATATAAGAAATTAGAGAACTGTACCTTTTTAACAGTCAAAATCAGATCATGAATAAACCTAGGTGGAGTGCAGTTGATTCCAACAGCAACAACTTTCTTGCATGCTTCGGCAATGGCAGCGCATTCAAGCAAAGAATCACCACTGACCACATGAACACCATCCTTAGAGTTGAAGGAAAACCATGCAGGAATCTTTATGTCTTCTTCCTCAAGAAGCCGAGCATAAGCCTGGATGAGCACCAAATATCATCAGCATTGAAAAACTAGTACCAAAGTTATAATGTGTAATACCCAGACGTTGCCCACAGGCATCATTCTCAGTGAACACAATCCAGCCCCAACCCCATTTTATCAGCAGTAGAAGCTCTGTTACTCAAACCACATATCTGAATATTGCCACAATCCTAAATCAGGCACCCCTTATTGAGCAAACCAAAAAGTCTCTGGGCTAATGTAGTCTCAAACCAGTAACTGGGAATGATAGAGCTCAGGCGTACTTAAAAATTCCTCATGGAAGAAGTGAAGAGAATATTAAAATGTCAAGAATCAAACAATACCTGAGCTTCTAGCTTATTCGGCACTGTTTCAAATGCTATTAGGTCAGCACCAGCATCTGCCAGAATCTGAACCCTTCTCCGATGGAAGTCCTTTAAGAACTCCAGGTCCATTGCATTACCATAGTCCCCACTGCATATCGACACAGCCAAAAAGAGGTATTTTTAAGTTAATCTAAAGTCAGTCCGAATAGTTGGTGCACTGAGAGGACATTGAAAGCAGTTGAGGCCATTGAACTTGATTAACATGAATTATCAGTTGTGCTATAGAGCAAAAACTTGATGTATGCTAACTGGTTAAGCCGGTCAGAATGGTTCTTATGCCCATGTGGTGTCATCACATTCAAATTCAACAGGAGGATCTTTCTCATTGAATTTTCCACATGTTAGTTCCTATATGCCAAAAGTTTGATCATGCACTTGAGTATGAAGATTCACAAACTACGTAAAGCTCCAAAAATTTTATATGCAAGGAGGTAACAAGATACAACGCAAATTTGCTATAGAACATTAGACAAGAAACAGACTAAAAAAATCATGACCTTTATTGGGGTAAAAAGTTTCACAGGTTCCAATCCTGTCATTCCTACTTCTACCTATTCTTCTCCTTTGGGCAGTAAGGAGGGATCTGTTAAGATCAATTTTAATTAGTAATACATAAAACTTTTATTTACGATACTAAATACATGCAAGATGTATTGATGGTCAGAAACAATCCATTTGTTCACAGTCATATCTACTGTAAACTGGATACAAGTCATCTCATAACTGAATAAAAACAAAATCACACAGAATAACTACAAGGAGTATCTCAACTTTCCTGTATTCAGAACCATCAGCCAGATAAGCCCCGTAGCTACCAACAGATGCTGCAACTAAGATTGATCGATGTTTGAGAACTCTACCATCATCAGCACTATCATTGGATAATTCACGACAATTCTCATAATATATATCACGTGCCTCGCGGGCAATTTCCACACATCTTTTAAGCATGGCTTCACTCTCCTCTGGAGAAAAGCCTTTAGCCTCAAATCCCTGAATGGTTGCCTGTCCACATACATGTAGAAGTGAGTTCTAAATATGTGTGTGCGTGTGTGTGTGTGTGTGCATGTGTGTGTGTGTGAGAGAGAGAGAGAGAGAGATTATTGTTATTTAAGGGAAAGTGTATCACCTGATAAGATGCTGTGATTATTATATCTGCACCAGCTTCAAGGTAATCAAGGTGTACCTGCATTATTAAGCAAATCAGTTTTAAGTATGCAAAGAAGGAAATAGAATAATTATCAGCCAACTGTCTCAGTAAATCTATGAAATTACATTCTCCACATTTTCCCTCTACCACTGAAACTTGTAACATCATATGCATCAAATGGTCCAGATCCACCTCTTCTCCTTCCCATAGGAGAAGAAAGAACATAATTACATAAAATAAACTTTCTAAATTTCATATTGTTCATAAAGATTGTGACACAAGTTAACATAAAACTCATGACCAAGCTTACATGATAGCCTATCACACAAATGGAGAATTATCCACCACCCACTAGAACTCTTGGTAGATATTTGAAAACAATGTTGTAGAACCAACAGATCCAAAAAGATGACTCAAGATGTAACCCCCCTTGGAAGACCAAACGATACAGAAAAAAGAGGTCTGCCGGAAAAGTTCTAATTGCCACCCAGTTCACAATGTTAGCTTGGCAAGGGATGAAAGACAGGTGGGCTGAAGACTGGCAGTAAATTCCACAAACCAACCATGCCTGACCACATCTGTCAAAATTTACTGGACCCCTTTTAACTATAAAAACTGCAAAATATTTCCGATAAAAAGATTAAAAAGATCTTCAAATATTTACGCTTTGATTTTTTTAGATGAATTAGAATCAATTTATCTAATTAATAAGTGGGTTTATAATAGACTGTGGAATGCCTCGTGAATGTTACTTGAACCTAGCAGAATGAGTGTTTAAAAAAGTAATTTTAGTAAATGCAAAAAACAAAAGTAAATAAAGCATATGGTTGATATGACAGATGCAAGTTATTTGGACACTTCCACTGAAAACAGAGAGCCACAATTACTGCCCCCATTAATTATCTTGTAGTAGAAACTATGCTACAAGTGGTCCAAACTTATAAATTCACTTTACAGATTTAAGTTCACACCGGGTCAAAAGATCTGATCTGATAAGCACAAAGTAATTTCAACAGTGAAGTAGTCCAAATTTATACTCACACTCCACACAATATCTCTTACCACTGTAAATTCTAAACCAAGAAAGTCATTCTACGCTGATAAGCTCACAAAAGACTGAGTTCTAAAAAGACAAAAATGTAAGACTTGTTCAACCTCATGCCCAACTAAACTCCAATAAAGTGCTAGTACGATTTTACATGAACAGAAAAATCGATCTGATTTCTTGCCAAGAAACTTCAAGGAAAATACTAGAAAATTTGGCTCAAAAAAAACAAAAAAAAAAACTTTTCGGAGAATTAGTTGTTCTAGGTTTGTCCGATGAAAATTACGAATGTTCAACATTCAATTTACTCTCTTCGTATAGCATTTTCTCAGCAAACAAAAGAAGAACTAAGCAATACTTCTAAAACTCCATCAACAATCACAAATCTCAATGAAAATAATACATGTGTTCAACAACGCTCATACACACAAATATATATATATATATATATATTCAAAACTCAAATCATCCTCTTTTCCATTGGAGTAGATTCTAAATGCAGTAGTGAACAACAACAATGCAACGCATTAGCTTCGTATTACGTTTGGGACGGATCGAATCTCACATACATATCCAAATTACTTTCCTCTTCACTATCCCAAATCCAAATCTACAATCCTCAAATCACCAATCCAGACTCTATTTAGCGTGATTCCAGAGTCAATGTCCCCTTCTTATGTGCTTGCATTGGCGAACTAGGGTTTCTAGGTCACGAGTTCGTTTACGAGGTCCAATCGGAGGAGACCTACAAATTGATTGCCGAGAAGAACTATGCAAGTCTCACTACTGTTGAGATATTGCAAAGATTTAACCGGAAGCCCTTCAGACCGCACACGCAGCTCGGTCGTGAACGGCCTCCGCAAAAAACTGAACGATTCGATGAATTGTTTCACAGATATCCGGCAATTAATCACGGCTGAGTACAAAGAGACAGTTGAACGACGATACTACACAGTGACAGGTGAAAAGGCGGATGAATCGACGATCGATCGGTTGATTGCGACGGGAGAGAGTAAGATGTTTTTGCAGAAGGCGATTCAGGAGCAAGGGAGAGGGAGAGTGATGGAGATGACAATGGAGATTCAAGAGAGGCTGTAGAAAGTATAATTTTAAATAATAAATCATAATTTAATTGAGGGTATAATAGTCTAATAAAATATTTAAATAATAAATTTTGTCCTTTATGCAAGATTTTATAATTATGAAAGGGTTTAAAAAGTATAATTTTTTTCTTAGTCCTTTTAACAATGAAAAGAAGATAAAAGGGATTTATAGTTAAATTTTTCCATTTTTTTTCAATTTTAATGCATTAGATATATGATTAGATATTTTAATTCATCTCACATTCACTAGTTAAATGTAGTTAACCTTTAAAGGTAGGCAAAATCTATTTAATCATTGGAATCATTTTCCTCCATCTTTGTTACTGATATGACATTCTATAAAGTTAATAGCATTTTGATGAATAGTTAAAATAAAGAAAATGGTTGGAGTAGAAATATGAAACAGTTGATAGGCAAAATAATATATATATATATATATATATATTATAGTAATGTTTAGATAGATAAAATGCCTATTACCGTTAGAAATGCTTGTAGTCAATAAAGACAAAATAAGTTAAAATAACCAATAAGATAAATATGTCACATCCAAATCATAATCATTTCATTTTTTCTCTTACAACTATCAAATCAATTATACAAAAAAAAAAAAAAGAAAAAAAGAGACAACTATCTTCTCAACCATAACTTTTTTAGAATAGCTAAAAAATTAAAAAGTCAACCAAAATAGTCAACTTCACAACCGAGCTATTTATGTAAATTTGTATTGAGTTTAATAAATAAAATATTCATTTTTAATCGATTTTACTTAATAAAAATAGATAAATGGTTTAAATTGAAAACAAATAAAAAAAAATTAAAATTTAGATTGACAAAATTAAAACCTAATGATTTATTATATTATCATGGTCAAACTAAATTTTTAATTTTTTGTAATTTTTTTAAATATTATCAATCAAGTCATTAACAACCCTTTGCTTTCTTTCTATTTTGATGTTATTTTAAAAAAATAAATAAATTACACTAACCTCCTGGATTTTGAAAAAAAATATAATAAGTTTTTTAGTATAATTGTATTAAGTTCTTTTATAAAAAATTTAATTCATATAACATTTTTCACCAGTAATTTTTTACATATATAGATAGAAAATTGATGTTGTTATACCTTATATATTAATATGTATATTTTACTTTATTTACATGTTTTTTTATATTATTTGCGTTAAGCCATATTCATTTAGTCTTACTAAATAAAATATTAATATAGATAGTCAATAGTGCATAACTCACTAAACAGACTATAAAAAGTATATTTTAGACCCACGAGGGTGTCTTACTTTTATAGCCAGCACTAACATGATCCCTGTAGAAGCCTAACTTCAATAGACTTTAGCTCAATGCTCATCTTGGATTCCCGGCTAATTAGAGATAAATTCCCTAAGAGCTTTATCTTTATCCAAATTGAGATTCTCCCCTATTCTAAGACTCTTGTCCCTTATCCGTTCATCCCGGATTTCGATATCTCCGCAAATAACCTTAGCCTAGCCAAAATTACTTCAGCGTCAGAACCAGGCCACGTGGCACCTCGGCTGACACTTCGGCGTCACCTTGGCCATATGCTGTCATTACAAAATATGTCCCGACAACTGCCTCCTAAGTTCAATTACCTCGACAACCTGAGGTGATGGAACCTACATCACTAGTTCATTTACTACGTCGGCTGAAATTCATTCTTTCCTTCGATCGAGATCATGATTCATCAGCTTCAAGTACCTAGTACTTAACTGTCCATTTTTATCAGGGATTAAGAACTAAGAACCAAGTTCTTTAAGTATCTTAATTGAGATCGTTCCTCTAGCCGAGGTTTTTGCTTCATTAAATCAAGAACTCCAAGAGTTTAATCTGCTCATGAGTTGTCATGCACGGTTTTTCCAACCGTTTCCGCCACGTATCCTTCTCTCATTAGTTCATACCTGACATGCACTATCAAGATGCATCGTTTCTACGCACGTTGCCTGACAGACATGTTGTCCAAGGCATATCATTATGATCTGCCGTATTTTTCACAATTTTAACAAAACTTCTCCCCCTCTTTCCGTCCCTTCACTTTTGCAAAAAACAATCTCCCTCGTTGCACAAATTTTCCGGCTCTAAACTTCCACTCTTAAACCGCTATTACTGTTTCTTCAAAGCTCTACAACCGTTCCATTTGTTTTCTCTGGCGAACTTTTTACCATCGGGCTCTGGACAACATCATCGTTTGACTCCAATGAATCTCTGTCCAATCTTGTTTCCTCTACTTTACTTGGTAAGTTCTCATTTTCTATCTGTCCAAATTTCAGTCTTTCACTGTTCTGAATATGTTTCCTTCATGAACTCGCCATATGATCTTTTACTGCATTATTGTTTGTTGAATCTAGCACTCATGGTTGTATTCATGAGTCGATTCATTTTATGTTTTGAAGTTTGCCACTGTGTTTTTTTATTATCAATCACATTTGTGATTTGCACACACTGACCCCACACACTCACTCAGTGTTTTGTGGATTTGGGATTCTATATTTTGTGATTCTTGAATTTTGCCTTTGAATCTTTCTTGGCCCTGAACTTTGTTTTGTTCCTGTTTGCTTTGCCAATCTTTCGAATTCTTACTCTTGTTTTTTGTTTCAATCTTGATTTCTGAATTATATTTCTTGTCTGGTCTTCTTATTCTGTTTTCAGATTCTGCCTTCGAATTTTTTGTTCACTTGCATAGACCATAGGCTTAGGATTTTCTTAGAAACCAAATACTTAGGAAAAACTGAACCATAAACCCCTCTTAGATTTGGGAGGGGAAAAAAAACCTAGCTCCGGTACCAGTTTAGGGTATAGCCGAGGTATTTGAACCCATACCAAATATTCCTTTCTGAAATTTTGCACCATTCTTCATTAAGCCGAAACTATGGGAATGTTTAAATGGAGAGTAGACTCCCTTTTCAAGCTGGAATACTTTAGGCAAGAGTTTTTCATTCCAACCGACATCCATCTGAGGTTGGCTAGGAAGGACGACTCAATTATGCCTGGCCAAGATTACATGTCATTCCCAGTCATCTCTATTGTTAAATGAGGAGTTAGGT